TATCAATATTCTATCAAATATTTTTATATTTCATATTGAAAGAAACATTCCATATGAATTGCTTTTACATATATAATATAGAAGGTACATTTATAATATTTTTGATATATTTTTAAATTTCTGTAAAAATTATTTTACTTTTGAAAAAAATGTTAATCTTTGTCATTTAGAGGAATTTAATTGAATTCTTTTTTTATTTCATTTATTTGAATTTATAATTATATTTTTATTTTTTATAATAGATTATATTTATTTTTTCAGAGCCAACCCAAATTTATCGATTTCTTCGCACAAGAAACCAAATTTCAGTAAGTAAAAATAAAATAAATTTATCTCTATTTCATATTTTATTTTAATTATTAATTATTTATAGTTTAATTTCTCCTCAAAGTGTTAACTGAATATTTTAATATATAATAATTAAAAAAGTACAAATATTAGATGAAGGTGAAACAATAAACATTTGTAGACAAATAAAGTGAATGAAAGTGTATTTGGTACAATTTTTTTTGTACCAAGAGTTTAGTGAACTTTTCTTGAATTGTAAAAATTAAACTCTACAGTAGAGTGCTTGTGAATGTAATCCAAACTATAAAAATATTTTGAAACTTTTTATATTTGTTTTTAATATATAAAAACGGTAGGTATACAATTATATTATAAAACCGTCTTATAATTTCATTATAAGATTTAAATTAAATATTGCACATTGTATGTTCTTTATGTTTTTGTTTATATAAACTAAGAGAAATATAATTGTGTAAAGTATTTTATGAAATTCTTTTAGCCAATATTTCTATATAGAAATTTAACTTACATGAGGCAACGTATGTCCAGAAGCCATAAGTCTCGACGAGGATTTAAAATTGACATGATATTGGAAAAATTAATGTTGAAAAATAATCAAGAAGAAAACCCAGGTGTTCGTGGATATATGACTCTTACTTTTCTAGGTTTTTATGATAAAAAAGGTAACCATATGTAAAACATTTTTGTTTAATTTTTATATTAAAAATAATTATATTTAAAATTTTATTATAAATATAAAATATATTTTTATAATGATATTAATATTACAGTTGAAACACCTCAAGATCCTGTAAAAGTGGAAACATTGTTGTTGAAAATATGTCATAAGAAACGAAAAGATGTGAGTTCACCAATTATGCAGGCAAGTTGATTTTTATGAATTACATTAACATAATAACACAATAATAACATTAAATATCTATAAAGTGAAATATATTAAAAAATTAAAACTTACTATTAACTGAGTAAATATTATTTATTTTAGGTTTCTGTTGGTACAAGTGAAGTTCCAATCAATCCTTGTGAAAATCAACCTCCTCCAAAAGCACCTACTATATCTATACCTAATGAATCTTTCAGTTTAAATAATGGTCATGTAGCAAAGACTTATATGCTTTTACTTAGAGTATATTGTACGTCCAGTACTGGCTGCCTTATGCATAACTGTGATTTAGATGGTTGGTAAAAATATATAAATTATTATATCATTATCATTTAGAAAATATATTATTTCTTTTAGAATTTCTTTCATTTAGAAATATATATTTCTTTATATATATATATATATATATACTCACAATTTATTTTTTCTAATATTAAGAATGTTAAAAATATTTCTTCTTCATATTTAATAATTATATATATATACATTTTTTTCAGAACCAGCTCAAAAACGTCGTAAATCCTCCACGGGTTCAATTAAGTCTGGAGGAGAGGAAATAAAATTGTATGGTTCTGAACTGATAGTATATGATAAGCATAATCGATGTTTATTAACTGATGGAGATTATGAATTAGGTTTACAAGAAGTACAAACTAATATTCGATCTAGCCCAAAGAAGCATAGCTCTTGGGAGTCTGTACCTGACATCAAGGAATGTGGACCTTTTGAAGTATTTAGTAAAGGTCCAACGTTAAAATTTAGGCTTAATTGGACAACTGAACCAAGTAATGGTTTAGTTGATAGACCAGCTCCAATTCATCCATTACCAAATGGTGATAATAAGGAAAATCGATCAGGAAATAGTAAGTTATTTATATATATGAAAATATTTATATGAAATTATTATATATGAAAATATATAATATACGACAAACTGATTTCTTCAGAACAAAAAAATTAATATAAATAATATATATAATTAAGAAAACAGTTTGTTATTTTATGTCTTATTTTTTCTTCAAAAAATTTATATATAATTTATATATTTATATATTTATGATTAAATATATATATATATAATTTATATATATATACATAAATAAAATTTTAAGAAATTAATGATATAATTTCAGCTGGTCTAGAACGTTCTTCCACAAATAATAATAATAATAATAATAATAATAATAATAATAATAATAATAACAACAACAATAACAACAACAACAATAATAGTAATAATAATAGCAACAATAATTCTACACTGCCAACACCTAGTCCCCTTAATTCTTCAAGAATGACGACATCTAATGAAAAAACAGACACTGTCATGGTACACAACAAATAGTTTATCAGTTCCTGTATAATAATAATAGTCGGCAACAAACAGAAGCTTGTGAAGATTTACATTGTCCATGGTGCTCATTAGATTGTGGAAAACTTTATTCACTTTTAAAACACTTAAAATTATGCCATTCGCGATTTACATTTACGTATGTGGTAAGTATTTAAATATGTTAAATATATTAAATATAATTCTATTTAACATTATAATACATTATTTTAATTCTATATAACATAACAACATTATAATATAATTATGGCTATTTTAATAGCCAATTCCACAAGGTGCTCGCATAGATGTAGCAATAAATGAATGTTATGATGGTTCTTATGCTGGTAGTCCTCATGAATTAATTTCGCAACCATCGAATGTAGCATTTTCAAGAACAGGACCGACAAGACGAACAAGTGTAACAAATATTTTAGTATGTCGTCCAAAAAGAACTAAACCAAGTCTTTCTGAATTTTTAGAACTCGATGAAAATGAATATGAAAGCCAGAGACCTTATATTACAGGGCATAATAGGTACAAAATTTATTTAAAATAAATATTGTTTATTATATAATAGAGTATATGATTTGTGAAAATTTTCATAGGTTGTATCATCATACTGTTACGTGTTTACCTATATATCCAAAAGAAATGGATATTGATTCTGAAGGAGAAAATGACCCAAAATGGTTACAAACAAAAACAAGGATGATGATTGATGATTTTACAGATGTGAATGAAGGAGAAAAAGAACTTATGAAAATGTGGAATTTACATGTCATGAAATATGGATATGTAGGAGACTGCCAAATACCATTGGCTTGCCAAATGTTTTTAGAAACTAAAGGAAAGGAATTGCTCATGAAAAATTTGTATCGTAATTTTGTTTTACATATGTGTAGTTTGTTTGATTTTGGTCTAATTAGTCCTGTCGTTTTATATCAAACAATACAAAAATTACAAGAAATCATGAAAGAAGGAGGCGAAGATAGTGATATTCGAAAAGTTTTACAAAAGTCCCATGAAGCTCAAGTTGAAAAATGGCTTAATTCAGGCTGTCATGCATCTTTAGATACTAAACAAAATAATACAAATACAAAAGAAAATTTAAACAGTGAAGGATTAAATTCTAATGGTATAGAGTGATGAGGATTGACTCTTTCTAGATACCACAATATAAAGTGTTCGCTTCGATTCCGGTGACGAGATTTTTAGGAAAATGAAAGATGAAATGATAATTGAAAGATGCATCATTTATAATCTTAAGAAGGAAATATTTTCCTTCATTTGTGAATTATAAATAGTGAAAAAATTTGTTTGCAAATTTGTTTCCTCAAAGGAAAATGTCTGCCTTTAGATATTATTTGAACATATAAAGAATATAATCCTAGTCACCGAATCTTGAGCGTACTAGGTAACATGAAGAACAAGAATACGTAGAAGACGTCTGCCGCTTGTACTTGCTATTACTCTAGTAGGTGTCGGATAAGACTGACTTTATTGGAAAAAAAAACCTCTTTTTATACACGAACGGGTAACAGCATTTGATCAATCGATGTTCAAAATACCGCGCGTTCGAATGAGACGAGTCGCTTTCGTCTCTCGTCTTTTACCCGCATTCGTGCAGGCCGCGTCTTGTTCAACTGCTTATTTCTACATTTATTTCTACATATATGTATATACATTTAATTTATTCAATAATATATGTTAAATTTACATATAACTACATTTTGAAGGAAATCAAGGTCATTGGATAAATATTGTATATTCATGAGATAATAGATTATTCTTTTACATGATAAAACAGTTGTACCTCCTATGTAATATTAATTTAAATTATAGTCTTATAGATTAATGAATAAATTTAATATCTGAAGTTAATACAAAGCTGGAAAAATTATACACATAATCTCTTAAAATATGGGACCTTGATAAAATTACTTCAGATATTTCTTATAAACTCAATTTAGTAAACTGAGGCTGTAAATTATAGGTTTTACCCCAAAGTAAGGAATGAACTGTTATAAAAAAAGTGCCTTTGTAAAGCGAGAAAATCTGAATGTGAGAGTGACTTTCGCCAATATATGACCTTTACATTAAGTATTTGTGCTCATTTATGATACATTAAATGTTTGTATGTTTTTTTATTTAGTAAAGATTTCTTTGTCGATTGTCATTCTTTCAGATAAACTTATAGACGAAATTTAGTAAGTTTATTCTCTGTGTATATATAATATACACAATTTTACTGCCGATAATCGTTCGAAGAAACAATTACATTCCCGAGATATTTCTATATATAACTAAATGAAATCTTATTCAATTTTTAAGTATTAATTTCTAGTAATGTTCTCTTCGAACGACTTAGATCACTGTCCATTAATACTTATGCTAGGTTGTAAATAAAAAATACAATAAACATAGAAATATTATAATTTAAAGTGTTCAGTGCTTTTACTTGAAATTATTCAAATTATTAGGTTGTTCGAAAATTAATTGCGATTTTTGATAACATATTGTATAAAGCTTTACTTAAAATTAACTTATTTAATCGAAATAAATTCATTACAATTTATATAACTTTCTTAATGAGATGCAAAATATTCTGTCTTAAAAAAAAAATCTGATTTCGTATAAATATATTTATACAAACATTATAAAAAAAATTTTTTATTAATTTTAACAAAATATTGAACAAAAAAAGTTACATTACATGTTCAACAGAATTTATTTTATTTTTGCAGAATGTATGATACATATTTTAAAGAAGTTCTCTTGTTTTAATATTTTAAATTATAAAAAGATTTTATGAATATGTTTTTTTCTTATTATTACATCATTATTTATATTGATGAAATTAATAAAAATTAAATATAGAAAATTAAACTATCATCACTAAATTATATAGTGCAATATTTATATTGATTGTGAATATATTTCAGAATAACAAATATAAAATTACAATCAATAAGATTGTAATATGTAAAATTTTAAATATTAGAAATAATAAAAAATTGCAATTTATTTCAAAACAACCTAATATTTTTTTATTTTTTAGAATAACTATATAATTACATTATTATAACATTATACTAAAAATTATTTTCCTTCTAAGGGGTAGCTTTTTTGAATAAAATTGTAGTACATGTTTCTATATACACAAATACATACATACGCACAAACAATCATGTAATTTCGGAAAAATATATCTTTTTATGAAGTAATAAATTATGCTACATATACTTTTATTATAATTAATGGAAAATTAATAAGAATATAAAAACTTTGTTTTCATTTATAAAGTTATTAATAGAGAAAATTTATAATAATATTCTAAATTTATCCAAGATTTTTACAATTATATGTTTACTGTTTAATATTTCTCTTATGTTCATGAATATGTTATATATGTTATATATTAAATTACATTATTTATTTAACTTGTTTTCTATTTTCATGAGAACCATCTGTTTTATTCTATTATACTTAAAATATTGTGGAAAATCTATTTTAATATATTCAATATGCCAATTAAAATGTTTTGCTTCAATAAGTCCTAAAAATTCTTCGTACATAGGTGCAGTAGTTTTCATATCAGTTGTAGTAAAAACATATCTTTTCTCTAAAGCAATATAAATAACTTTCGATATATCTGAATTTAAAAGTTCATTTAATGTTTGAACAAATCCTTCAGTTATAGTTTTATCATAAATTACTGTAAGCATAAGATATCAAACATGCATTATTTTTGTTTTAAAAATAAAGTTATAACTATAATAAGATAAAGTTATAACTCACCATCTGCAGCTAAAATAACATTTACTTTATCTAATTTTTTCTTATAAGATATAAATGATTGTAAATTTAAAAAATTTAATTCTTTAATATAAATTTTAGCTTTAATATAATTTTTGTTCCGTATAAAATTTCTATGTATTAATTTCAACATTCCTTTGACATCAATATCTAGAAATTAAAAAAATAATATTTATTTTAAATATAAAAAATATTTAGTATTATATCATTTTACCACAAATTTCATTACCTGTGCAAATTACTTCTTCTGCTAAAAAACTAGTTACTATACTGGTTAAACCAACTCCAGCACCTAATTCTAAAACTATTTTATCTTTGAATAAACTAGGATTTGATAAAATATAATCAGCTAATAATAATGCACCTCGCCATACTTGTAATCCAACATATTGTAATTTTGTAGATATATGATGTTCTAAAAATAATATAATATAATTTTAATTAATTTTTTATGATATTTTATCATAAATTTATATTAGCTTCTTGGTTTTTCTTTATCTTATCTTTCTCTATCTTTATATTATTTATATAAAATTTCTATATATTAATTTATACCTATTAATAATTTTCCTTCTTGTTGTCTATCTAACACTATATCATTATCATTATCATGACTTATAATATTGTTAAGACATTTTGGTTTAATCATGTACGATGGATATTAAGATAAAACT